AGCAGGAAATAAAAACACTCAATATAAATAACTGCATTTTTAAAGGAATCGTAGAGGCAGAGATTGACATGTATAAAAGTTCAAAACACTGCCCTTTACACCGATTTGCATGAAAAATAGCACTTAAACCACTAGCCCTATTTTTAAAAATGCTTAGGTCCAAGATTCTCATCAGGGCATTATAATACTTTCCCCCCTAGCAACCAAGTTGATACTGTGAAGTCTTGGGTGTTTTAACTTGGCTCAGAGGTTAATTAGTGACACAAAAATTCATACAGGAGGGAGGAGCAAGTGGAAGGATACAAAGAAGTGGAGAAGGTCTGAACCTACTCATAGATATACAATCAATTGCAGGGAAACATTGTAAGAGCGTAAGTGTGCAGATGACACCAAAAAGAAGAGGAATGGTGGTTCATATAAGAGGGAAAAGCTCTTGACAAAGTTATTGCTGTATACTGAACTCCCTGGGGAAGTATTACATGAAGTATTAAAACTGGGAGAGTTATGAAGGAGAGCTCATGATAGCCATGCTCTTAGGCTAAGGAAGATCAGCTTGTATTAAGATGCAAAACAGAGGTACCGAGATAAAACATTGACATTCCCTAGCTTCAACAGCAAACCTGAAATCCCATAACTGTTCACTTTGCGCCTGGAAACTTGTCTAACAACTCTTTTATTGGACCAACTGTATAGGATGGAAGAGGTCCCCAACAAACCCCCTGTTCCTTTGCACATAACCTTTCATGACAACAATGATTTCAAACACAAGCAAATGCAAAACTACAGCTGTAACACAAGGCTGGCCTTAAGGGAGATTGAGGAAATATTTAAATAGAGAAGGTACAATGGCTGCAAACCAGAGGAACTGAAACCGAATCTGTGCATGGACTAGATTTATATACCAACAAGGAAGAAGAGAAAAAAAAAAAAGACTTGCAATGCAGTATCATGCATATAAAATGATACTAAGTATGCACGTAGACTGTTCATCTCTTGTAGGCCAAATACAGACTAGCTTATGCCAACTATATCTCCTCCCCACTCCCAAAAGGATGGGTGGTGCCTCAATTTATACCATTAATTATTGTAATATACATTAGATTAAAAAAAAAAATATCATGGAACATGCGAGTCACCTGCTCAGCAAAGAACAAGAGGTACTAATACTGCTAATGGTATCCAGGTTGTAGCCACATTGATCTAGAGGAAAAGGCAATCAGGACTTGTAGTAGAGATGATATAAAAGATATCATCTCTACTAAGAGTCCCGATTGCCTTAATACTGCTAAAAGACGACAAATCTCTTGTCGCAGTCTTCACAAAAAATGACCAGACAACTAGCAAAGTTAATATAAAACAAAGAAAGGGGACCCATCTCAAAAGTAAAGAGCACATCAGGAAGCATTTGATAAATCTGAAGGAATTTAAGTTAGCAGAACCTGGTGGAAGTCACCCTCAGGAACTGAAGCAACTAGTTGAAGAACAATCAGAGCCACTGTCAAGTGTCTACAAACTTGTGGATGGAAAGCAAAGTCCCGAAGGGCTGGAGGAGAGTAACATAATTCCCATTTTAAAAGGAGGAGGAGGAGTACCCAGAGAAGCAGAGACTGGTGACCCTGACTCAGTGCCTGGGAACTTACTAGCACGAATTTAAAGAGTCAATTTATAAACATTTGGAAGGAGATCACTAGCAGCAAACACCGATTTATTAATAACGAAGCATGCCAAACCAAATTATTTTCTCCTTCAATACGGGTTACTGGTTCGGTGGCCAGGTTAGTAAAGCTTGAGCCTGTGCTACATGCCATTCTTTTGAGGGAGCTAGAGAAACACAGGCTCGAGTTACCAGTGGATGGACATGAAAGCAATTGGACAACTGCTAGCAAAGACTAACCATCAATGTTAGACTTGCAGGTGGTCTCACATGAATCTGCTTGGGGTCCTGTGTGATTTACCACGTTCGTTAGTGATGGACGGAGAGTATACCAACATAAAAAGTGGGAGGAGTTGGAAACACTTTAGAAGATTGAATTAAAATTCGAAAGGACCGTAATAAATTGGAGAATTGGACTACAGGCAATAAAGTGAAATTTAAAGGCAAAGAGATGGTGCTGCAGAAAGGTACAAATAAAAGTGGGGGATAACTAGACTGGCAGTAGTCTTGACAAGAAGATTGTGGGGCTATGGTGGATCTCATAAGTCAGCGATGTGATATCATAAAAAAAAGCGCATGCAATTTTGGATTGTACTGAGAAGCATTGCATGCGAGGCACAGGAGGTAATACTATCATACTATCACTCTAGCTGGTGCTAGGTAGGCCTCCACTGGCACGCAGTGGCTGGTTTGCAATACTGTGTTTCCTGAAGGATGTGGAGGAAGGAGAGGATCCAGAGGTGAGCAATAGCGCTCAGGGGGTTGGAATGCAAGCTACATCAGGAAAGACAGAAGGAACTAGGAATGCTTAGTTTGAAGTAAAAGGAAGAGATGGATTGGGAGACATGATAGTAGCTTTCAAGTACCTGAAAGGCTGCCACAAAGAAGATAGAGAAACACTGTTTTCCTTTGCCCCAAGTAGAACATAAGGCAGGTAGGTTCATCTGCAGCAAAGCAGATTTAGACCAAAGTATCAGGAAAAAACCCTGAACTGTGAAAGACAAGAGAAGAGTAAAACAAGCTGCTCAGGGAAGCTGCAAAGTCTTGATGACAGAAGGTTTCTCGAAGTGGAGGCCAGACAGACATCCACCTGGGATGGCTTATTTGCATGGAGTTGGCCGATGTGACCCCAAGCAATTCTAATGAACGAGCAATGTCTTCCACAAAATAGCTCATCACAACTGAAAAAATAACCAGTGTAGGCACTCTAAAAAAAAACAAGGAATCTGACTAGTTACTTAACTCAAACGGTTAAATACCGTGTCAGTTTGTACAAAAAAAAATGGAGTAAAATTACTCAACTGTTTTCATTGCTCTTCGATGCTACTTCATAAGTGGCGTTTTTAGGTGTAGACTCCTCTACATCATCTGGTTCATCTTCTGTAACTTCCAAGTCACCCATTTCAACTGAGTCAGATACTTTATTCCCATCTTCACTGGTACCTTTTGCTTCTTGTTCTTTCCTAGTTATTAAAAGTTTAAATGAAGAAAAACTGGCTAAATAATTGAAGTCTGTAATAGTTTAGTATTGGTCAGTTGTACCTGAAGTATGCCTAAAACATTCAGACACAGTGAATTAACAGGCAAGGTGCTTGTGCAATTCTCCCTGCCATGTCCCTACCCCAGCACAGGTAAGAGTGCAGCTGTGTTTACTCTAGATGCATTGCACACAATGAGCCAGGCCAGCGTGCAGCCTCCTTTACTCTGAGGCAATTCATATGCTGGTTTGCAACTCCATAGTCAAACAGACACACCAGTACAAAAAAGCCATCCATCCAGGGCAGACAAAACTTCTTCCCTCTAATAATTTGGTGACTAGGATTTATCTGGGATCTTCATTCCAAACTCAGCTACCTTAGTTTGTTATGTGCCAAACGTCTTTTCCTGGAAATCTTAAGAAGTTTCCTAAACTTTTAAAATACTTGCATGGTTTATGGGGGTTGGCTTCTCCAGTTTAGGAGGATGACAGAGAGGTCTGGTAGATCTAGCTTTAAATAAATCACCTTACTTTTAAAATGCTGCTGGCATGCTTTTTGCATATACTTATTTTTACCAAACTTCAAATGTATTCAGGCATAATTCTTAAAAGCATGAACTCACTGTACAATATTAGATTAGCACAACAACAACAAAAGTCCCCCAAACAAATTACCTCCTTAGTTCCTCAAGTAATTCCTCAACATACACCTTCCATTTGGGAGGAAACCCAAGTGAGAACTTCTTGGCAAACTGGTATGGAATTCCTGTTTGAAACAAACAAAGCGGTGCTGTTACCAATGGATAGTGCATAGCATTGGAGTATAAGAAGAGCTAGTACCCTACTTTCCACTTCTTTCCCTTCCAAGGTAAAAAATGCAGTTCAATGAACTAAAGGGGAGCAGGATATTAGCATACTTAAGGAGCCCGTGCTGTGCACAGTAAGTTCTGCCTGCAAAAATACAGTGAGTGACCCACTGACCCTCTAAGACGGGCTGGCAACACACAGGTGCAAGCCAAACCCAGCCTGTAGAACTGGGGCAGGGGTGAGTGGCATCATGGCAACAGGCCCAAGTCTACACCAGTGCCAAGGCTGGGCAGTGGGGAACTACACTGCTGGGTAGGTGCAAGCTGCACCTGTGCTTCAACTGAGGGAGCGTGGGTGCAGCTCTCCACTGCCTGGCTCCAGCAGTAGCAAGGACATCAGTCTCCACCACTGATGTGCTGCCAAAGTCCCCCAGCCTGCCTGGACTGGAGTGGGCTTGTTCTGGCCCATGGCTTGGACAGGTTGCTGATCACTGCTCTAATAAACACTAGGGCTGTATGAAGCTCCGGTAGCCGATTCAATTCGGAGATTCGGCCCAATTCGAGGACCAAATCCGAACTGAATCGTGAGACCAATTAAAAGCTCTGAATTGATTCAGAAAAGCTTTGGAAAAGATTTGTCTGCTTTGGAGATTCAGCCAGACTAAACAGGCAGCCTGCAGCTGGTAAGTCAGTTGCGGTTGGGAAGGGATATGGGGTTGGGACAAGCTGGGGGCTATGCCCTGCTGCTGCATGGAGCAAGCCGCATCTGCATCGCGCTGTTTACCCAGCACCGGCTGGGTAAACAGCAGCAGGGCATAGCCCCATGGCTGCCCTCACTGGGGCAGAGGCAGGCACAGCCGGAGGAGCTACGGGAGAAGCCTCCGGGCTCATCCCCTGCACGGCCCAGCCTCCCAGCAATTTATAAGAGAGCCCCGCACTCACTGGCTCTGGCAACAGCCATCGAGGCTTCTGAGGGGTCATGGCAGAGCCCCACAATTCAGTGTGGGGCAGTGGGGTGCAGCGGGGATTGCTCCCCGCCCCCACCTCCCACTGCCTGGCACCCACCCCATGGTGCTGGTCCTGTGCGGCTCAGCAGGGCGCTACACGCGGTCCGGGAGCTGGAGCCTGGTGCCACTCAGCCCCAGCTGCCAGACAGTGCGCAGGGCCTTGCTGAGTCATGCTGTACCCGTGCCATGGGGCAGCTGCCACGTAGGTGCCAGGTGGGCGATCCCCGCTGCCCCCCACTGTGTGGAGGGGCTCTGCCACAAGCCCTCAGAGGCCCCAATGGCCGCTGCCAGAGCCAGCGAGTGCGGGGCCTTTTTTCCCTTGCTTTTTAAAGTGCCGAGAGGCTTGGCCTCTCCCCAGCCAATCCGAATCATCGAGTCAGCTGAATTGATTCAGGACAGTGATCCAAATCTCTGAATCGAATCACTGTCCTCCAAATCAGCTGAATCCAAATCCAAATGGAATAATTCCCTATTCGCACAGGCCTAATAAAACACAATCTCTGAAAGAAGTGTGGAGTTGGAAAACAACTATGTAAAAGTTACCAAAGTCTTTTTCTAAGGCAGTAAAATAAAAAATAATGGCATCTAAACACTAAATGTTTTTGCAACAGCTTTTCATGAAGTGTAGTGCAGTGCATATTACATAAAAAGCAGTATCATCCCATACTTCTCCCACTGCTGCCTCCAAGACAGGTGCAAGGTAGACCTGTAGCCCGTAATTTCAGTGACCAACTTTAATTCAATAACTGACAAGACATTACTTTGAATACTCAGTGATGGACACCAAAACGGACAAAAGAGAGTAAGCTTAATTTAAAGCTCCAAGGTGTGTAGCTAGTTTAACTCTGGATCTAGCATTCAGAACTTGGTGAAAAGCTTGGGACAGAATGGTTTCTTGCCTCACAATAAGCCTAGTTCTTATCTGTTGCCCGAATAGATCTGTTAGTAGCTGTAAGTGCTGGATAAACATGAAAACAGATGTTCTTTTCTTGAATATCAATTCTCATCACAATCAAGACCAGATCTTTGCAGTTTCTTCATGCTTTTACGCAAGGACAAAAAGGCGCATTTGCCATAACTTCTCCCAGGTATTCCAAACTACCAAATTTTGCAGGATTGGTCACATATTTCTATTGGCTTAACAATATATGTTTAAAAAAAGGCAGACTCATGAAAAGCTGCTGGTTCTATAATAAATCTTGGTTTTCAAGCTCACGTTTCATTATATTTTGCTAGCAATTAACCACTTAAAAGCTGAACTGCAAAGAAAGAAACCTGGACTGCTTTTAGCAGAACATGCACTTTATTTTAATGACGGGTCCCAGGGTAATTTAATACTTGTGATATGTCACCAGAAATGACTGGCCTAAGTCATAAGAAGGAAATTTTGCAAACCGGTAATATTAAAGAAAAAGAAAAGGACATACCCATTGGCCAGCTCCTTGCTCCAGCAAGATTACATCATGATTGTAACATCAGTGGAGCAGATGCCAACAAGTATGGATCACAAAAGGTTCTAAAAAGCTGATAGCAAAAGTAATTTTTCAGTGTTTTACAATATGTTTGGAATGTCCAACTGAGCCCAATTGGCAGGATGGGGTGGGATAGCATGTATTGCTGAAGTTAATATAATCATTTAGTTTGCAGTTCACCTTTAAAGTAAGATAAGCTTTTATTTGCATTTCTTTCTTGTGCACAGTTTCTAAGTTGCTTCCTTACCTTCTGTCCGCATTGAATTGTAATTTAGTTTTCCTTTTAATAAATAGATGTTGCCAGATGACGTTTTAACTTGGTTCCAGCCTATGCGTTCCACAATGGTATTACTATGCCAGCATAGGTCATTCCTGTCTCTAAAGGAAAGAAGAAATACAGAAGAGAAATAAATGGCTTGTTTTTGTTATGGAAAACAATTCACAGCACAGTCCCAAGCTCCAAGAGTGGAAATGCCAAAATTCACAAAACTGGCTATGTTAGCATTGTAATGCTCTGGAAAAGGGAATGAATTCTGAAGCGTCAAGATCTGTAACTAGTACAAAGTTGCATTCTGCATCAACACCCTGAAACAAACTGAAGCTTTTCCAAACACCCCTTTCAAGAGATGAGGAACTGAAAGTCTCAAGGCAAGCAACAACAACAACAACAACAAGCTAGAAACATTGAGAGACTTCCAGTATTTTCCAAGAGAAGAAATTAAAGACTGGTAACATTAGTCAGGTATGTAAAACGAAGAACAGGACAGAGATAGAATAAACAGGTGTAAAATGGAATTACAAAGCAATAAATTGCAGATGAAGGAAAAACCCTACACAAACAGTTGTACGGTGTGAGTTACTTGAATAAAACCTATGCACCTCACTGTTGTAAGGTATTCCTGAATACAACAGACCGCTCAGTGATTTAAAAAAACAACATATTAGACATCGACCATGCAAGCACAGGCAAGAACATCCATGGCTATAAGATAAGGGATAAAAGTCCTCACAGATAAAAAACAAAATCTGTAGGTAAGAAGATAAAAAAAAAAAAATGGTACTCTACTATTTCCACAGTCACCCCTGAATTAGGAGGAATAACAGATATGCAAGGAGGACCTGTAATCCTTGAAATACCTTTATCAGTGTAGCCATAAGGCCTCCCTTTCCTCCATACTACTAGACAGGAGAAAACAACTAGCATTTGCTGAATGAAATGAAGGCTCACAGCCAAGTCCCCACCAGGTGAGGAGCTGGGTTTCTTAAGAGTCCCAAGCACTGGGGCCTTCTCCCATTTTCTTTGTGAGGAGGAATGTACTTGAGCAACTGTGGGACCACAGTCAGCACCAGCCCTTCGGAGCTGCTAGGCAAGGACAGGTCTGTTTTTAGTGCTCTTAGACAGATGATTCTTTAACTCCACTATTTGCTATCCCAAGTAGAGATGACATATTTGTGTAGAGGTTATACAGATCAGATAAGCTGTTATATTTTACACTGGAGTGGAAAAAGAAAAATAAACATCACTTACTTCCGATTTCCTTCGACACATATGGCTGTATTATTGTTGATTGCCCTGAGCTTCCAATTACTTAGGCAGATTTGTGACTGCATATTTGAAAAAGAAAAAAAATTATATCATTGGTATACACAACATCATTATGCAGTTGTTTGAAGAATATTTTAAGGTTTTTAACCATTAATTTTCATTAAATACTTTTTTCTTAATGTTAAAACAAACAAACACCCCCCCCCCGGCCAAAGAAAAGTTCCTGCTTATCTTAGCACTGTCTTCAAAAGAAGAATTCCTGGAAGCAGTGGTCCGTAAGCCATGGCTCACAGGCAACATGCTGACCCTCCCATGTTTTTTATAGCCATAAGGAATGGAACAGTTCAAACAGAAGGTGACAAGGAGAGCAAACACCTACAGCATGTTCCTTACCTTTTCTCCTTGCCTACTTGTACTCCCTTATTGTTGGGAAAATCCTGTTGTTGCCACATAAAAATCACTTAACATGTTTCCACTTTTACTGTTAAAACTCTTGGAAGAAGCACGAGTAAAATTTACAGGTGTATGCTACATAATCCTCAGACCCATGAGAATCCTCCCTAATCTTGGGAGCTGCTTATTGCTTTTGGAGAGTAATGAAATATATCACTTATTATGATAACTGTCTTGGAAAATGTTTAACAACATTTTACTTAAATCCATATCTACAGCTACAATGATTTTAGCTTAAATCTCAGGGAAGATTTCCTCACTGGAAGAGCAGGACAGTGGAACAAGTTGCTGAGGGAAACTGTGGAATCTTTTTTGGAGATTTTCAAGAAGTTGAACAGACAACGTCCAAGATGCTTTAGGAGTAACACATCTTGTACCTGCGGAAGTTTGGATGAGGAGAGCTCCCTTCCAAGTCTATGATTTTACATCTTTTCTTTAGCTTCTTCCTCCATTTAATGGACTGAAGAACTTTTGCCTTTTTAAAAACATTACAGTTCAGCTGTGATCCACTAAAGCATAGATCTGCAGTCAAAATTTGACACAGAATTGAATACTTTGGGTAGAGACAGCCACTACCTGAAGGTAGTATTTCCCCATGACCATGTCTATAAAGTCTGACAGCTTTACATCTTTTCTGAGGTTTGTCCTTTGCATCTAATTATGTTTGACTATTAATAGACAACTATTCCCAGTGTTTCTCTTATTCTGATCACAGGAAAATAGGGCTTGAAGGGATCTCATGAGGTCACCTAGTCCAGATCCATGCTCAGGGCTGGATCATCCCTGACTAAACCATTCAAGTCTGTACAATTTGCTCGACAGTTTCCAGAAACGGAGGTTTTACAGCTTCGCTATGCAGCTGTTCCAATGCTTGACCACCCAGAGCCAGAAAATTTCTCCTATCTTCCAACCTGTTTCCTTGGCTGCAGTTTGAGGCCATTGCTCCTAGTTCTGTTCCCTAGGCTTGTCTCTGTAGCCTTATCTCCATCCTCTCTATCACCCTTCAGGTATTTGAAGACTGTGATCAAATCCCCCCTCAGTCTTTTCTTTTCCAGACTACAGTCCTACTTTCACCTTTTGCTCATAGATCATACTGCCCAGGGCTTTAATCATCCTTCCTGCTCCCCACTGCACTCCTTTCAATCTCTCCATATTTTTCTTGAAATGTGGGGCCCCAAACTGGCCAGTTTTGATTCAGATTTAGATGGTTTTCAAACAAGAAAAAGTTCCAATATTGTCCCCTATTTCTTTCTACCACCATTTTTAAAATTGCGCTTCTTTCATGCTTTAATCACAACTAAATATAGCAGGCCCAATATCTGCAGTCCACAGTACTGACAGCCTGCAGTTTTCCCATAGTGGGAACATGCAAAGCTTACCAACCTTACAGCCACCTGGTCTAAGCAGCCTTCAGGTAAGAGTTCGGATTCTCCTGAAATTAGAACAAATCTGTTTGGGTGAGATCTTAGCCCCACTGAGGGCAAGGAAGATGGACATCCATTTAAAAGATGCTAAACTGATTATGGAACTTTAACCTCAGCTAAACATTAATTACTCAAACAACTGTGACAATATGCCAAATTAGCTTTCAACCTAAGCTTACAAAAGCCCAACATTAAGAGTCTGTAAACAGTTGCATCTCAACTTAATAAAACAAAGCAAACAAACAAAAATTATACCCTACATTAGTGCACTAGTCATCCCATAACAGTTGACAACGTTTTGGAGTTTATAAAAACCAAGCTTGATTTTTTCTAACTTTCTAAAAGGAAAAAAAAAAGTAAAGCTGAAAAAGGTGGGTTTCTTTATTTTTAAACGGTCATTTGACTGAAACACTTGTCTAATTCACCTCAGTTTTCCATCACCCCTGTACCTCCCTCTCAGAGGCAGCAGAAAAATGTATCTAGGAAAGATTTTAGCCACAAACAGAGAAGCTAGGAGCTGAACAGGCCATGAATTCCTCTCAACCCCAATGTGGTCTCAAAAGAGAATGAAAATCACAGGGTCTTGCCAACGTAAGGAAGACTGGACTATTCCTGGTTCTGTTTTAACTGTTTTGTGAAGAAAAGCATATCACACAAAGAAGCATAAAAATCTGAAACGCTTCTTTTCCTGGCTTTGATAGTGCACACTATCATCCAACTCAGGTGGGCAGGGAATGCTTATTTTATCAAGATATAATTAGACAAAGAAAAAAAAAAGCCTTCCCCCCCTTAACAGGAAGGTGCAATCCAACAGAAGACGCATTTTAAATAATGAAACTTATTTCTTGCTGTTTTTTTTTTTTTTTTTTTTAAACACAAATACCACTAATTATGGCAAATCTCAGGTCAGATTTAGCATATAAAATACTTCCATGGAACTAGCTGACCCACCTCTTTTTTCGTATTGCCATCATTTGGATCAGCCTCAACTTCATTTGAGGTGATAATACCGTCTCCTCCTTTGGGTTTTTGCTTTCTTGGTATATGAACAGTTGGAGAAGAAAACATAATGTTACAGAAGCACTGTGTGGGCTTCTGACAACCAGTCTCCAATGTCTTTTCTACTCCTTGACCAGTCTCCTGGTTCTTGAGTTCCAATATTCTTCTTTCTTGCACAAATGTTTTTTTACCACCAGAGTTTTCTTTTAACTGATTTCCAGTTTTAGCAGGGGTTGAAATTATTTTTGTCGTATTCATCACTATAGTTTGAGACAGTTCGTCATCAGCATCGATCGATTCCACAAGAAAATCATCATCCTGGTTGTTGTCATTGTTTATCATGCACGCTCCATTAAAGTGACTGGGTGGTTTGACGAACACAGATTGGACTGATGGCTTGTTCACGACTGTTGAAGGGGGAATGTTTCGGTTAACTTGGTTTGAAGATGTAGGATCTGTCCATTGGGGGAAAAAGCAGAAAATAAAGTAATAAGGGAAAGCAATGGATGGTTTCAAGACTAGTAAACATGCATCTATACAACTACAAGCCTGATTCTGTTCCTACACAAGATTCGTTGCAGCAGAGACCAAAAGCCGCTTTCATCAGTTGACACTGAAGCAAGCCCTCCAAAACTACTAACTCAGCTACTACCAGGACCAAGCAGTGCTTTAATTTCATGCTTGGACAAGGCTCCACCACACAATACACAAACTCCAGCTAACACCTGTACTTGCTAATGCTTTATCAAGCTACTGCTACAATGGGGCTGACAAAGAAGAAACTAGCACAGAAATATCAGATACTTGTACACAAGATTAAAGAGGAACACTAAGAATTTTTTCTACTGCCCAAGTAAGGGAAACATTACAGAGAAATAACATGGATGAAGTTTGATTAGTATTGCCAGAAAGAAGTTAACTGGTGAAGAAACAAAAAACAACTGCTTGAATAACTATAACCTGAGATTTAAGTAAGAAGACTCCCCATCATATAAAAATCTGTGGTTCGCAGCCAGTAGACTGCGTTCACCAGTGAACTGAGGACCTGCCTTAAGGGCAAATACAAAGTGAGGTGAGGGAGACCAGCCCATGTGTTTCTGTAGTGACAGGCAGTGTGTCCCCTGGAGATGCTATGCTGCTGTACACACCAGGAAGCTCTACTGACAGACAGCTAGTTAGACAAATCAAACCAATATGCAGTAGAACAGGGCTGTTCAATTAGCGGCCTGGAAGGGGTTAAATTGCTGTTCCCTAGGCTCAAACCTGGTCCTACCGCCCAGGCTCCCTTCCCTGCCTCAGGGACAGGGCAGTGCGGCATGGCATAGCCTTCAATGGCCCAGTGGGCTTGAGTGACATAGTGCAGCAGGGGAGCTCACAGCCTGCAGGCTAAGGGTGAGCTGGGGCAGCTGGGTGTGTAGTGCAGTATTATAGTGTCACTTAGAGGCTAACTCCTATGGTGTCTACCATGGGTGGCCTAGAAGTACAGGCAGGTAGGTGACACCCTTCTCCAAGCAGGCAGTTTGTTGGATGTAACTAATCAACAAACTTCATTGTCAGCCACGTTTTATAACAGACGACTCCAAAACTTTTGGACTCAAAATGAAGGACTGGTACAAACCCAATAAGTAACTACTGGACCTATTTTTGGTACTCAGTTCTACTGGAAAAGCTGTATATGAGAGGAGAATTTCAGCTGTGAAAAATAGGTCTTTTCCCATTTTCAGCTTTTTCCACTAGAAATAGGTGGGGAAGGGAACAGAAGATACCACATTCTTCCAACCATATGAAATAGCCCCCAGAAAGAAACTGCCCACGACATGGAAGTCTACTACCTACAGTCCCAGAAAAAGTACCTTCTTGCAGTCGCTGCAGCACTTTTTGTTTCAAGCGTAAGAAAAATTTTTGAGGAGATTCTACTGCAAGAGGATCTGACGCCAGAGAATCAACGCTTCTGTGTCGTACCACCTTGGTGCAATGCAATACTGAAAGAAAAAACAAATTTACTTTGATTAGGAAAGTGAAGGCTTGTGTAATATTAAATTAGCTTACTCATTTTTCAGTCAAACTGAATGTATACTTCATAAAACATTATAGGAGCCATTAACAATACAGAATAATTTTTCCAGTTTCTGTATAGCCGTTCCTAGGGTATTTCTAGGAATCATTCATTCTGTATTAAATACTGCTCCAGGTAAGTTAAATTTTAGCAGCAAAATTCATGTCCCATTTCTCTGATCCCCATTTTCTAAATTTAAACAAGATTTAGCTCACTTCCAACTGTCCATCCACTCTCTGATACTATTGTCAGAGAGGGGGGATATACGAAAGGAGAATCATTGATAGTATCTAATTATCAGGAGATCTTAAATTTGTCCCTAAATCAGAGGAGGGGCAGGCAGGTTGACCCTCACATCTTGCTTCCCTACCACTTGCCCGTCCCCTCCACACCTGCATCCCTGCAGTCTGTCCCCCAACCTATCCCCCAACCCTTGATGCTGCCCCATCCAGATGCACTGCTCCCGAATCCCCTAACCTGCTCATCCAACCCATACCCCAACCCACATTTTTGATTGGCAGTAGTGTAGGTCAAGGGACAGGGTAGCATCATGGGCCTGAGGATGGAGAAGCAGCATGTGCTGCTGCCACAACCCCAATGCGTGCCGCTGCTGCCACATCCTTGACTTACGCATCCTCAACCCTCACTGCTCCCCCACCTGATCCCGACCCTGATGCCACCCATCCCGGTCCCTGGCCCTGGCCTCTGACCTACACTCGCTGGATTGCTGCCAACTCTGTGGCTGGTCCAGCAGCAGCTCTGGCCCCAGCTGATATCGGGGCTGGGGCAGAGCTATAGTGCCGGCACTCCATCAAGACAAGGTGGTTTTCCACCCTGTTAACGGAGGGGGAAATGACTTTCTGTTGGATTCAAGTAAATACAGTATACACACACACACACACACACACACACAGTGTATATCTGTTGTTTCCCCAGACCCCACACTCAGGTGTAACCCAAGGAAAATAAAACATGGATTTGACTGGATATAAATCATCTGTGCACTAGGCACCCCACAAAATCCAAGATTTTCTTTAGCAGAGGCTCTTCCACCTTGTTTTCCTGGGTCGATCTGATTTCCAGTGGGAGTCAGGATCATATCGCTGTTGGTGTTCAAGGGAAGACTGGGAGAGATGAAAAGCGTCGGCTGCTGATTTTCGCGAGACGCCTTGTCTTTCATTCTTTGGAAGGCTGTCGCCGGAGACTCATGCGAGGCTGTGGCGTACGTCTTGCCTGGCAGCAAGCCCTCGCGCTCTAGCAACAGCATCTGCTGCCGCTGACACAACGCCGCCTGCATCGCGGACGCGTCCGATCCCGCCTTGATTTCACTGAGGTCGAGAGACTCCACGCCGGCCCCGTTGGTCAAGAGCGTGGACTGCAAAACACGTTTGGCCTTGTCAGCCGCTTCCGCTTGCCTCCGTTTCGCGTCCGAGGAAGTCGAGGGAACCGCCGCGTCTTTGCCAGCTGCCGCTTGAAATTTAACCAGATCTTTTAGGGGCGTGAGCGTCCCCGATGGGATGTTGCTCATGAAAACGGCCTGCAGAGGCAGACCCGCCCCAACCCCAA